AATTAATAAATTATTTACTACTAATACGTTAGCAGCACTGGCTGCTATGTCCAGTGGCAGTTTAAAAAGCTTGATACTATGTTAGTTCAAACATTTTGGTAAGCCATTGGTTGCTTATCCAATCTTTGTGGCCTAAGCAATAATTGGCAGGGTTCAAACAACATACTATACCATTAACCATCAAACAACACACTATGCCATTAAGCTATCATTTACAGACACTGTGTCTAGGTTTGCAAAACATGCCAAGTCAAACAAGCCACATTATGGCTCAGTGCAATATGTGAACCCAGCTGCATTTCATAAACACAGTTAGTTATAATAACTGAACAAGATCTCCAGTGTTGAAAGATAGCATTACATTACTGTGTATTGAAGGCCAAGCAATCAAAGGATGACTATTTTGCTCTTATATTCAAGCGCCTTTGAGCAACCAAGGCAGTGAAAGAAGAACTCAACTTTTACCGACAGGAGAGCAGCAGGACTGAGCAGAAACTGTGGGGAGGTTTTGCTGCTTTGCCATCGTAGACTAGGCAGATTATAAATCTTCTAATAATAGAACAGGTTGCTTCAAAGCTCTGCACCTTGTGTAAGGCTTCATTTGTTTTATTATATCTCTTGGAGATAATGAGAATCTAAAGATAGAGCTCCTTGGTACTTTCTACCTCTCTGGGTTTTTCACGTAAATCAATAACTGTGTCAGAGATTTCACTACATCATGAGTTCTTTGAAGGGTGTGACATCCAGAAAGGTGCAACCCTTAATGGAATAAAAGTGCTTCTTTCTTATCATTTCCTGAGTTACTATTAAATGGAAGTTTTCTGCTATGTAGAGGCAGTTGGCTTCTTCTGTCAGTATCAAGTTCCCTAGCTGTTGGCTGCCAATCGCTTGGGATTTCTATATGTTGGAAAGATATATAGTATAAAAAAAAAAGGAGGGGTCATCTTAATTTAAAACAGCCATCGCTGGAGAGAAATGGGTAGTTGTAAGCACTGGATTCCAAAATCAATGCTAAAGTAATTCCTTTATTAGGATGACTTAAAGTTCATAAATTAATAAAGTATTTTTGTGATTTCTTCAGATCTCTTATTAGGTTACACAGAAAATCATACAAGTGGAGTTCTAACATAGTCCACTGTTTCTCAGGCAATGGTACATGTAATACTGGTGGTATGCAAAAGTAGTACAGAGACGTAAATCCCATCCTCAGATAGCAAAACAAACCACAAAAGAGAAAGGAGAGCAGAGAAGAAGACTAGACCAGCAACTGTTGAGGATCCTAAGCCAAATGGGACTAAGCACTTCTACAGAGCTTTTCTAAATGCTGGATTTAGAACAGCTTCTTTAAAAACTGGATACTAAGATTGCCCCTAAGACTGTCTAAGGCAAAAACTGTGGCAGATTTTGAGAAGCAAGAACAGCTTTAAGTTTTCAAGAATTGCAGGGTTCATGGTCAGCTGTTCAACTGTGATTGCTTCCTCAACATGGTTTCAGTATGGATTTAGAATAAAGACTTTGCTACTGCAGATTTCTAAAGATACATCTTAAGTGCACAGCTACCCTGGGTGCTTTTAAGTGGAAATATTTTAAATAAATAAATGCATTTAAATAAAAATGTACAATGCGAATGTGGCAAACTTATGTTTTGAAAACACCTCATACAATTACAGTGTTCTTCAGAGAATTTGAATTGGCAGTTGTAATTTAATAGGTCACATGGTTCCACACCTGAAGCGTGTTTTATTTTATTTCGGCAAAACCTAATTTTAATGGACTGATTGGGCATTGTGCAGGAAAATCTGTTGAACCAAAGTAGGTTATCATTGGGACTTACATCATTTGTGTGATGACATCATGTAAATGTTACATTTACATTCATTTCTTACATTTGCATAATGTTGACATTACATAAATGATGTCCATTTGATGCAAATGACATCATTTGCATCATTTGGGAAATTATATCTTTATGCAAATATAAATCACAGTGGAGATTTGCTTTGCTTCACGTGAAGTCTTTTCCATTAAGATCTGATTGAATGAGGTTTCATTATATTAAAATGAAGCCAAGCCTAAGAAAAGGGACAGTTTGCAGTTAATATCCCACAAAGCAGCAGAAGGAGGAATCCCAAGTGCGTATTTCTCACTTCTAGTACTTATTTCAATGCTGTTTTGACAGCACGTGTGATTCATGACCCCCTCCCCTTCCATTTTCCCCCCAGGTCACCTCATTTTTCTTGCATTGTGACAACACACAAGTGTGCCTTTTATTGCCTAATGTAGTCTTGAGATGCTGGCTCTGTTAAAAACCTCATTAATTCTGGTGAGCAGTTGATTTATGCCAGCTATTAATCTGATCATGTTATAAACTCCCCTGCTGGATCTGAGGCACTTGAAGGGATGCGAGTTCTGTTTCTCTAGCTTTGGCCCTATTGATGTTAATTGTTTAGAAGTTCTGGAACAGTGTTGTGAAGTATGTGCTGCTTATGTGTAGCAGTTTGTTATTATACTCTAAACAAAATGTTGCTTTCGAAAATCTGTCTTCAGAATTTAGGAATCTCAATAGATGTTGCATGTAACCAATGGTGCCTTCTGGCAGTAGCAGTCCCTGCATTAAATCCTCATGAAATTTAGATACACTTATTCAGGTTTATCAAGTACCATAATCTAAGAAGAGCCCTACTGGATCAGTCTAAGGGTCTTCCTAGTCCAACTTTCTCTTCTCACAGTAATACTTATGGAAGTCTCCAAGCAGAACATGAGTACAATATTCATATGCCCAAAACTGGTATTGAGAGATGGGTTGACTTTGATATTGGGGAGGGACGAGGGAAATACATTATCAAAAAAAGTAGCCATTAGTAACCTTATTCTTCATGACTTTGTTTAAAGGTGTCCAAATTAGTGTCCATTGCTACATCTTTTGAAAGCAGATTCCATAGTTAACTGTGCAAATTGTGAAAAAGGTTTTCTTTCTTTTGTTTAGTATCCTAAACCATCAGTGATTCCTATTCATTAAATGACCTGGATTCTCATACAACTTGGAGAACAAACATGGTGTAATGGTTCAAGTTCTAAACTAAGATTGGGGAAATCCAGGTTCAAATTTCTGATTAGCCATGAAATTCACTGGATTATTTGATCCTAGTGCTATCTCTGAGTGTAGTCAACCTCACAGAATTGTTATGAGGATAAAACTGTGAGAAGACCATCAACAATATCTTGAGCTCCTGTAAGAAATGTAGCATAAACCTATAGTAAATAAAATATGCCATTAAAAATTGATAGTGTTATGCAAGAGAGAGAAGGAATTTCACTCCATCCTGTTTTTCCACACCATAATTAGTAATGGCTACCTCTGTCATCTCCACCCCTACTCCCATCATAAGCACCTAAGTCATGCAGGCATTTTTACTTTTCCAATAAGTCTGGAAGAGCAAAAAATATCTTCATATTTCATACTACGCAGCTACTTCCTAAGCCACAGGACCTTAAGCTATAGGCCTCCAAAAATGTTTAAATAAGCAAATAAACATAAGGGGGAGGGGGAGGAAAGGTAGTTTTCTCATTATTGTACAAGCAGGGAAAGTCTCTTAAATTGGCATTAAACGTGCCATCCCTTGAAAACCTGCCATTTTTGCAGAAAGAATAACTCTACTAAAAGATACTGGTGCCTTTTCCACTCTTACATTAGCAGAGACAGGATACAAGGTGTCTGGCAGCAATGCTTTGAAAAATATTTCCAAGAGCGTTATTCAGTGCCCCATAAATGCCTGAAATAATAACTTTAATTGCAAACAAATTGCAGTCAGTTGAACTCTGAACAGTTTAATAGCCTTCTTTTTTATTGTTTCCAGCAGAGTGGAATATTGGAAAGA